GGGGGAAGCTGCCTATATGGGAGCGGCTGTGGCTCAGGAGGTAGAGCAGGTTGTTTCCTAACTGGAGGATTAGCGGTTTGATTCCCAGCTTGTCAACATGTCGAAGTGTCCTTGAGCAAGACACTGAACCCCCAGTTGCTCCCGGTGATGTCACCGGTGTGTGAATGTGTGAGCGTTTGGGAGTGCGAATGGGTGAATGGCCGAGTAGTGTAAAAGTGCTTTGAGTGTGCTGTAAAAGCGTAGAAAAGCGCTATACAAGTATAAGATCATTTACCATATATGCTGTAACCAGGTGTGAGTAATGAGAAGCAAGTGAAACCAATGTGGGTGATGAGATAAAGTTCCCGGGAGTCAGGGTGAGCTGGGGACAGGAAGTAGTGTCAAAATAAAAGCATGAGACCGGAAGCAGTAGGACAGAATCATGACATGGTCACTCATCTTGCAACCAAACATATGCCAGGGAAAGTGCAGGCTAGTTATCTGCTCACCTAACAACACAACATACAGTAACAACATAATGTTTAAAAGCCTCTTTGACAATACTGTTGACTGCAAAAGTGGATTACTAAGTGTGATTTAAGTTGGACTTGTTGGAGCTTCTTAACACTAATCTTTGATCTGCCTAATGTAGCCCCAGTCCACTGTGTCCACTACAATAAGGGCAGTCACTGTAAAAAATGTTGAGCAAAATGACAGAACAATGTCAGTGAAAACACAACAACCAAGCAACAAGCTCAGCCATTGAGCCCTAGTTAAAATTACAACAAAGTCTCAATATAAAAGGGAAAATACCAAGCTGTGGTTTTTGTGGTTCCATTTGCAATGCAAATGTCCTTCAACCTTTATACCCTACTGTGTAACACTTTATTGAAAGTGTGCAGTGCACACCAGCTGTGGTTGTGTGTGCACAGGCGGCTGAATGCGTGTTTACTGTTCACACCGGTTGCTCTTGGCTGACAAGGACTGTGGCATCACTCTCACCTCTGCCAGAACGACAGCGAGAGAACAGGTAAAAGTTAAAAACTGAGCAATTTGTTTACAGCACATTACTGACACTGAGACACTGCCTGCTGCTGTCCAGCACACACTCACACCGCTAACCGCATCATCCTTTCACCCCTCCTATCTTCAAAGGTCAGAGAGAACACAATGATACAGTAATCATAAACACAATCCGACCAGAACAAACCAAAGACACACCAAGTGGTCTCTGAAATGGCCACTCTTATCAGACCCACTGGGGGATGACCTTCCAAATGTCAAAGACAGAAATCTAAAACTGGACCTGAAGCAGTTCAAC